CAGGCAGCAAGGATGGTCCCGAGGCAGCGCACACTTTCTCCCATTGGCCTTTGGGGAGGCCTGCCATTGGCCAGGCGCAGAAGGAGAGGCTCTGTTGCTGTGGCAATGCCTGCCTGGGCTCACTGCACAGCAGCCTGGTGCGCAGCTCCTGCCTCCATGGCCAGGAATAATTCTCCTTAATCCTTCAGAGAGGCATCATTGGATAAAGCTGGGAGCCTCCCTCCGGGAAGGAGCTGAGAACAGGGGGAGGGAAAGCCTCTCAAACGGCTAGGCTGGCTATTCCCCTCCCTCCTGCCCTCCTTCTCCTCTCCATTCACTGGCAGAGATCTGCCCCCATTACAGGAACTATGCTGGCGGGAGCGGGGAGATCCCCCATGCCCAATGGATCTAGGCAGGCACCAGGCACAAAATGGGAATGTGTGACAAAGCGGGTAGCAATTCACACCATGCAAGAACTGGCAGAGAGGTGGAGAGACTAGGCCAGAGTACTGGCAAGGTGTATTCCGTATGTATGTCTGCCTGCAAGGCACATTGTGCACTGATGTTCCTGGCTAAGGAGGGATCTGACCGTGGATTTTTCATGTGCAAGTGGAACTCTTCTCATACTGATTCTCTTTCTAACCAGCTGTATCTTACAATGTGCAAATCAAAACATGAAAATGTAAAAATGTACAGCCAATGGTCCTCTTGTGTCCAGGATTTCTAAGAGGCTCTAGGGAGAAGGTGCCTCTCTCCAGGAGCGGCTCATAGTTGCAAGCAGACCATTGCAGTTATTTGGGACAGTGAAGGTGCTGAACGCTGCACCCCTGGATCTCCAGCAATATCTCTGGCAATGCCAGGGTGCTGATCGGATGCTTACGCCCTCACCCAGTACTTTGAGTATCTGGCATACCCAGCTGCAGAAACTGTGGTAGCGGCCACTTGCTCTACCGAGAAAGTTGGAGAAGCCCAAGTTCCCCCTCCAAAGAAAGCAGTGAAGGACCAGGGTCTAATGTGACAGTATTGCTTCGATCTTGGTCAGTAGCAGCTCTTAACTGATAACAGAAGTTCAGGCTGTGTGGGACTCTAGTTCAGCTTTCCACAACCTAGTGCCTTCCAGTTGTTTTGGACTACAACTCCCATCAGTCTCAGCACGGACACTCAAAACATGTTGAGGGAGCCGGACTGGGGAAGACTGGCCCAGTCTTTTTCTGCTTCTGCAATTTCCAGGCATGCAGTGTCTCTTCCGACCAGGCCTCCATACCCTCAACGGATGCTGAAATGGTAGATATGCCTGCGAGGCAGCTTCCTGTGTTCCTGTGCATAATCAGATTGCCCTCCCTCTGCTCCGCCTTGCAGCCAGAGGTGGAAGGCACCAGAGGTGGAGTCATCACCCAGAGTGCATACTCAGAATTGCTTGGCCTAGTTTAGCTTGAGTACTCTTAAACTCATGGTCCAAGGGCTTTCAGTGACCGACGGATGGCATAGGAATTCTCTCCCCTGTCAGAAAGGACTCTGGATAGAATACAAGGGCTTATGGTTGTGGCACCTGGGCAGAACAGGAGAGCTGGGCAGAGATGCCAGGGGTGAGAAGTGTGTTCATGGGGGGGCAGCAGCAGCAGGGAGAAGTGGCTCCTGTTTGCTGCTTGCAGCGAGATCTTGATCACAGGGTGGTGCCACGGAGTGTTGTTTGTTGAGAAGGACGGAAGGGCCTTGGCGAGGGAAGCCATTCCGCCGCTTCCTTGTAGATTTCAGGGGAGGGCGGGCAGGCAGAAGGAAGGAGAGCAGCCACACCTCCCTGCTCCCCGCCCCCCCCAGCTCCCGTCTGTCACAAGGATGCGGGGCTTTCTCCACCAGCAGCCGCCTGACCCTGATTGTCCTGCCACCTGGGTGAGGAAGCCAGCAAGAGGAAGTTGGGGGCTGCCATCTGCAGCTCCTTTGTTCAGCACCCAGTGCTCGGCCTGTGCAGGAAGCAGCTTTCTGCGAGGCCTTTGCCCTTTCCCCGCCTTGCAGCACCTCGTGAATCCAAGGATCTGCTGTGGTGGCAGGCGGCATGGGCGGGCCGGCCAGGAGGCTTTGGTGGGGAAGGGTGCGTGTTGCAATGTGCCCCACAAGAGGCTCTGCCTTGAAACCCAGCAGGCGGCTGCGCGTGTGTAAAAAGAGACTGCCCACTGGCACCTGATTTGGATCGTGGAGAAAGCAAGCCCAGGATGAATGAGTGCATGACGTGTTTGCACCTTCTTCAGAGCTGCGCATGAGGGCAAGAGGTTGGGATGTCATCTCCCAGTTAAGCTGCTGTGGATGGAGGTGGTGAAGGCCATGCCCTTCTCTGGTGCCCAAAGTCACAGCCGTGGTTTGGGAAGAGGCAGCACAGTGCCATTGCTGAGGGGCTGCTGGGTGCCTAAGAGTGTAAGGACGCAGAGCCTGCTGCTGCGTGCGAAATGCTGCCTGGCCCCTGCGCTTGTGCAGGCAGGGAGACCTGCTCTCTGTGATGGATGCCAGGGCTGGAACAAATGTGTCTGAGGGGGGAAGGCAAGGCACGTAGGCGATCTCCATGGGAACCAGGGGAGCAGCAGAGCCTGGCAACGGTGGGGGGGGGGGAGGAGGAGCGCGGGGTGGTACATCCGCAGGCTGGGTGGGGTGGGGTGGGAAAGATGGGAGATGGCAGGCGCCGTTTGCCTTGCCCTCGTTCTGCAGGTGGGGGATTGAGGCCGAGGGAGCGCTTTGCCCAGGGCCACGCGTTGGCAGGCTGGCTTTGTGACCACAGTTGCAATGGCAGCCAAGTCCATTGGCTCCCCTCTGCTGGACCAGAGGAGCTCCTCCAGCATCAGGTGCAGACACACATGCTCAGGCATCCTGTGCTCCTTGCTAAGTGGCAAGAGGCATTGTTGTTGCCTCTGCACCCTCAACACAAGGCGCCTGGATTCCGCTTTATTTTCAGTCCAGAGATGTGTTGAGGAAGGCAAGGGACGGGGTGGGCTTGCAGAGAAATGAAGGGCCACCCTCTGAATCTCTGCCCCCATAGCTAGCGCTGGGGACAGTCCTTTTTAAGAGTTCTGAAAGCGACTGGAGTGAGGCTTCCTATGGACACACACATTCACTCCAGCACCTCTGGTCAAGCAGGTTTTCCAGGTTCTTGAAACAATAGAATAAACCTGCCAAACGGGTTTACTGAAGGCCAAAGAGGGCTGAGTGTACACACCGCAAGCAGCCATCCTTCTCCCTCTCTCTTGGCTTAAGTATCTTCTCACCAGTGTGTACGAAAGGCATCCTTTCAAAGCTGCCCACAGGGAGAGCTCTGACGTTTGGCTCTCACCTTTTCCCCCTCCTGAGCTTTCACCCTCAGTCGGTTGGCATCCGTCTTTCTCAGAAGACAACGGAAGAGTGTGCCTCTGAGGGTGAAGTCGAACTGTTGGAGAGTTACAGCGCCTGCTGTGGCTGTAGAGACTGATACAGGAGAGACATGTTTTGTTGCAGGTGGAGGCGCCTGGTTTTGCTGCCACAGGTGCACTAAGTGTTTCTTCTCTCTGCGCTCCTCCCAGTGGTCATTCCTCCTCTGGTCACTGCTGTGGATATGCAGCCCGACTGTCCCCAGGCACTCTGGTCATTTGCAAGGGGTTAATGTTGCCGGCTTCCATGTCATCCTCAGTAGTCCTTTGGGAAATGGAAGTTCCCGAAAAAGAATTGCCCAGACTCCTTTGTGAGCTGCCGATGTGATGATGCCCTCTAGATGCTGTGGGCTGCAACTTCCATCATCCCTGGCCACTGGCCGTGCTGCCTGGGGCTGATGGGAGTTGTCATCTAAAGTATCTAGGGAGCCCCACACTGGCTGCCTCTGCGCTACTTCATGATATTTCGTATAAAAAGGGAGCCTTGGGAGCCTGAAGGCAGGTGTACAAGACCGGGGTGTGTGGGGGTGGGACTGAGTCTCAGTGGCAGGGAACTAACTGGCATGTAATTCTAAAGGACTATGGACATGCTATCTCACTAATATTTGCCTGGTAAGAAATGCCAGTATTATCTCCACATTTGTTCATTTTGATATTTCTGCACCACCCTGTTCACCATACAGTCATAGGGCAGTTTGCAACAGCTTAAAACATGCAAATACATATACATATACATGTTGTTGTTGTTTAGTCGTGTCTGACTCTTCATGACCCCCTGGACCAGAGCACGCCAGGCACTCCTGCCTCCTGCAGTTTGGTCAAACTCATGCTGGTAGCTTCGAGAACACTGTCCAACCATCTCGTCCTCTGTCGTCCCCTTCTCCTTGTGCCCTCCATCTTTCCCAACATCAGGGTCTTTTCCAGGGAGTCTTCTCTTCTCATGAGGTGGCCAAAGTCTTGGAGCCTCAGCTTCAGGATCTGTCCTTCCAGTGAGCACTCAGGGCTGATTTCCTTCAGAACGGTGAGGTTTGATCTTCCTGCAGTCCATGGGACTCTCAAGAGTCTCCTCCAGCACCAGAATTCAAAAGCATCCATTCTTCGGCGATCAGCCTTCTTTATGGTCCAGCTCTCACTTCCATACATCACTACTGGGAAAACCATAGCTTTAACTATACGGACGTTTGTTGGCAAGGTGATATGTACATATACATATACATATACATATACATATACATATACATATACATATCTCTGGTGAAAACATCTGCACAAAGTAAATGCAACATAAATGGAAGTAACATAAAATAGCAATGGGTAAAATAGCAACAAATCATGCACACCCTCACCCTCAGAAGAAGGTGAGCGAAAGAGGTTTGCTTTCCCCTTCTACAGTTTGGGAGCTACCACTGAGAAAGCCCTGCCCTGGGCCTCAGGGTGGCATTGTTGGGGTTTTGTTTGGGGGGGGGCTGATGTTGATAAGGGAAGAGTGAGATTGTGCCTTGGGTGACAATATTGCAGGAGCTGTTGCTGCCCCTTCCCCGCTACGGGCTGCAGGTTTGGGGCCGCAACAGTAGCAGCATCTTGGGGTCTGTGGTCTTTCTGGTAACGGGGCCCCTTCCTTTCTCTTTGCAGACGATTCTTCCTCAGAGAGCTGTAGCGGGAACGGCTCCTCAACCCTGAACCCGTCCACCTCCAGCAGCACTCAGGGGGATGCCGCCTACCCAGAGATGAACGGGAATGGAGCTGCCGTTCCCATGGATTTCAGTGCCTCCTCTGAGGACCAGCCCATCAACCTGTGCGACAAGCTGGCACCTGCCCACGTCACCCCCTCCTACCAGTCGGACGGTTGCAGCGCCGATGGCCTGCGGAGCCGTGCGAAATATGGAGCCAAAAGCACAGCCGAGGTGTGTGTGTGTGTGGGAGAGAGAGAGGTGTGTGTGTGTGTGTGTGTGTGTGTGTGTGTGTGTGTGTGTGGAAAGTGACTGTAGCAGCCAGTGGCATGGGGAAAGCCCCTGACATGGGGGCAGGGGAAGGGTCCCTCCACCTACCATCCAGTGGCAGTAGTGGAGTTTCCCCCTGGCTACAGGCACGGTGGCAGAGTCAAAAGAAGACCATGTGGAGGCTGAAGCGAGAGCAGATGACCCATCTAGGTAATAGGAGAAGATCAGTCACCCTGATAAGGAGGCCCTGTGGCCTAGCCTTGCGTTAAATTTAGAGCACTCCACGTTTTGTGTTCCTTTGCCACCGTAGTCCACCGACCAACTACACTCAGACCAGTGCCAGCAAATTTTTCCTAAGCCAAAGGCCTTGTTCCTAGTCCTATCTCGGCCAGAAACATTTCCTTTTAGGACAGAAAGGAAGCAGAGTCACCGGCCTTTGGGGGTCCTGGCCCAGTGGCCCTTCTTTTGTGCGGCTGGAGCTTTTTGCAGAAATAAACGATGGTTGCCCATTGGGAGCCAAAACAGCAGTGGAGCCCTATGGCCTCTGTAGAGAATGACCAGATGACCAGAGCATGGTGAGATGAATGCACCATCTGCTTTATGGACCTCACAGAAAGGGGATTTCCATGGGCAAGAACTCTCACCAAGGTTCTGGGGGATTCGCAGTTGCTGACTGGTCCTCATGGACCTTTCTGTGACTGCTTGGAACAAACAGCTGGGGGGGGGGGGAGCTCAATTTCCTGCTTTCCCTTGTGTGCTTCCTAGCATTGATAACAGAATGCTAGGCCTAAATTTAATCCAGCGTGGCTGCCCTCAACTCCCCAAGGTGGAAAGAAGAGGACACTTCAGACTGACCCATATTTTGGGGTATTAGAGGTTACCGCCCACAAACTTCTGCTGCACTTTCCTAATTGTGTGGTGGCACCTCAGTAAAGCTTCATCTCACTGTTTATAGCAGAGTTTCCCCCCGGAGGCAGAGGACAAGAACAGTAGCCAAATTCCTCAGTCAAGAGCTTCTTTATTTCTTGACTGGTTGCACAAGTGTTTCAGTTCCTAATATATACAAACTATTTACAGTGGTACCTTGGTTCTCAAACTTAATCCGTTCCAGAAGTCCGTTCCAAAACCAAGGCACGCTTTTCTATGGAAAGTAATGCAAAATGGATTAATCTGTTCCAGACTTTTAAAAACAACCCCCAAAACAGCAATTTAACATGAATTTTCCTATCTAATGAGACCATTCATCCATAAAATGAAAGGAATAAACAATGTACTGCAATCAATCAGTAGCTGAACTGGGTTCCACACAGTCACACACCAAAAAAAAAGAGCCACAAAAAAATGCAAAATAAATAGCAAACAGACAGACCTCAACGTAACACTCCAAATGGAAGCGTAACCCTCAAAACGGAGCATGTTTGACTTCTGAAAAAGTTCACAAACCGTAACACTTACTTCCGGGTTTGCAGTGTTGGGGTTCCAAGTTGTTTGAGAACCAAGGCATTTGAGAACCAAGGTACCACAGTACTTTCTATATCCAGCATGGTATAAACTCAGTGTGTGTGTGTGTGTGTGTGTGTGTGTGTGTGTGTGAGAGAGAGAGAGAGAGAGAGAGAGAGTATGTGTATGCTTTCCTTGTGCGGACATTGCAGCCTGCAACTTCCTCCCTTGATCTGCACCTGCAGCTGACACCAATCAAGCCAAGAGTGCCACTCCTACACACTAAAAAAAATTCTGGAACCCTCTTTAAAGTTTAAAGGAACTTTTATCTGTTTCTTGAAGAATGTTTTCCTAGCAGGGGGTGTGGACTTGGATCTTCCCAAGTGTTCACTGTAGGAGTGATGCGGTTGTGCCCCACTCCGTCCCATTTTAGCCCTCTGCCTCCTCTCTCCGCTCCACCCCCACAAATTTAGACAGTGTAGAAACCAAGGCTGAGCCCTCCCAAAGTTAGAGATCTGTGAGCCGCCAGAAGGCTAAGCAAGACGGTGTAGCCAGGGGGGGCGGTTCAAAGTGCTGATTCTTTGTCTCCTCCCTCAGTCGCCTCCATACAGCTCTGGCAGTTACGATTCCGTCAAGACCGAGGTCAGCGGCTGCCCTGAAGACCTGACTGTGGGCAGAGCTCCAGCCGCTGACGATGACGACGACGAGCACGATGACCATGAGGACAACGACAAGATGAACGATTCGGAAGGAATGGACCCAGAGCGGCTAAAGGCCTTCAATGTATGGGCAGCTCTATGTATGATCAGCCCTGGGGGGGGGGGAGACAGGGTTCAGTAGCATGGCTGCACCTTTCCTTTCCCCTGTGAGAGGGGAGGGACTACAGCTCAACGGCCAATCCCATGCTTTGCGCATAGATTTGTCCCCTGCTTTAGCCCATCTCTGGTAACTGGTGATGAAGACACTGCCCGAGAGTTTCTGCTGCTGCCAGTCAGAGTAGACCACCCGTCCCCCAACCTGGTGCCCTCGCCGGACTGGAGCAGACAACTGTGAACCAGGCAGGCTAACGATCCATTCAGGTGTGAGGCAGCTCCCAATGTTCCCTGTTGTTTCTGCAGATGTTTGTACGCCTTTTTGTGGATGAGAATCTGGACCGCATGGTTCCCATCTCCAAACAGCCCAAAGAGAAGATCCAGGCCATCATTGAATCCTGCAGCAGGCAGTTTCCTGAGTTCCAGGAGCGAGCTCGCAAGCGCATCCGCACTTACCTCAAATCCTGCCGCCGCATGAAGAAGAATGGCATGGAGATGGTGAGGGTTTTTATTATTATTATTATTATTATTATTATTATTATTATTATTATTATTATTATCCCCAATTCCTTCTGCGTCTCCTCTCCTCTCCTAAGATAGTAGAGAACCATCCCAACCCCTGTTGCTTCCATTCCTCATTCATATGAGCCTCACTGGACCCAGTCTATGTAATTGCCCTGTGGGGTGGCATCTCCATGCTTTTGCCATGATAAGGAAGACTTGGCCACTTAGGGATGCCTGCCCAACTCTCTCTCTCCCCTGTGCATCGTCCATTCTCTGACCCTTCCCACCGACCTTGCTGAGTCACCTGGGTGGGATGGGGCGGGGGTGTGTGTGCAGGGAGACTGCTGTTAGGTCCTGTGGGCTTTGGTCATGGGGTCCCATAGCAGTTGATCATTTCCACCACTATGTGAAACTTCTGGGAGAGCTTGTCTGGAGAATTAGAGTGTGGTCTCAATCAAATGCTGGCAACAGTCTTCTGTTTTGCATCTTATTTTGGGAATGCTTGGAGATCTTGAATTGGTGCTTGAGTCCAGTAATGGATTGGATGTTTGTAGGAAGCTGAGACCATCTTGTCAAGACAAAGTTGCTGTTAGGATCAGATTCACTGAGAGTTCTCTTGACCTGGTTTCTGGGTCGCTTACATGACAGTCATCAGCTGTGACTTGGTCTGCCTCTAACCAGTGGCAGAGCAAGCCGATTGGGTGCCTGGGGCGGCACACGTGCCCTGCGCCTGGGGGCGGGACCAGCCACCCACAGGGGTGAGGAGTCTGCCTGCTTCCCTACAGCTGAGGGGGAGAGAATGGGCAGACTGTTTGGGGCAGCGCAGAGCCTGAGGGGGCTCCAGCCACTGCGTCACTCCCAGGAGAAACTCGTGGCTCGGGTGTGCTGCACGCCCCACAGTGAGTGCCGCCACCATTTTGTCACCCCCCCCCTCAGTGAGGACACACAGCGCGGGCTGCACCTACCGCACCCGCTTTGCTACATCCCTGCTTCTAGCAAACTCTATTTCATATCTAAGTTTTCTAGCATTGCCTAAGTTCGGAAGAGAAATTTTGTTGGCATGTTTTAACATTTTATCCTCTAAGATCCTAGATGGCAGCTTTGCCGTAGTTCCCTGCCATGTTAGGTGCTGTCCTTTCAAACTTAGAATTTGAAACAGTCTCTCCTACATACCTTTGCTGTATATTTTATCAAGGGGTTAGAGAAAGCATAATTTATCTCTTTATGAGGCGGCTTCCTGGAAGATCCTTGGGGGCTCTTTTGAGCGTTTTCCTTGATGGATCTAATAAATGTGTTACCAAACAGGTCGCAATATATATGTGAACATTCTAATGTATCCTTGACCCACTACAATGGTTTGTTTCCAACTTGTCACCTGGGAATTATTCATTGATTCTACGGAGGCTTTGATTTTTGTACATCTTCATATGTTCTACTTTGTTAATGGTCGGTAAACATTTGATTGATCTGCCTTTGGTCCTGGATAGCCACCAGGTAGCAGCTGTGTCTAGGAATGCTTTGGCACAGCACCTTTTCCTGGAAATCATAGATGTTGCCACTGTTTCATGTGCCCAAGTCACATCACATCAAGGTTAGGTTGCTACGGCACATTTTACAGAGGGCTACCTTTGAAAACTTAGAAACATCAGCTGCTGAAAATACAGCAGGCAAGGCTGTGGCTGTGGATACTGCGCATGTTGCTTTATCTGGTGTTCACTGGTCTTTGTTGGCTTCTGGTTTGCTTGTGGGTACAACATAAAGTATCCTTAAAGCTGGAAAAGTTTATGTTTTTGTTTTAAAGTGGGGGGAGCCCAAAATGGTTTGGGACCAAGCATGTCACCAGGAGTTTGGGGGGGTTCCAGGACAGGCCTTTTTTTTTTAATCATGGCACCCAGATTGTGGAACTCCCTCCCTTGCAATGCCTGATGGGCTTTTCAGTGCATTGTTAACATTCCTTTTGTTTCGTTGTGCCCTGCTTTGGGGTTGCTTCGGTTTTCCTTCCCTGTTACGTGGCTTGGCATTTTGAACGAGCACCCTTAGATTTTACTTCTTGGTTTTTAATCGGTTGCTTTATGGATAATTGGTTGTTCTTAACTGATGTGTTCTAAGCATCCTTGGAGGCCAAAAGGAGGGACATAAGCATGTTAATACAGAACCATTCATTTTTTCCTGAGCTGCTGATTCTTCTCCTTTGACTGTCTGGTCTGCCTGCCCACCCACTGACCCTCTTATCCGACGGCTGACATTCCTGGCTCTATGTGTCCCCAGACCAGGCCCACCCCGCCCCACCTGACCTCAGCCATGGCCGAGAACATCCTGGCAGCCGCTTGCGAGAGTGAGACGCGGAAAGCAGCCAAAAGAATGCGGCTGGAGATCTACCAAACGTCACAGGTATGGGCCTTGGAGCTGACCTCTGGTTTGGCGCTGGACACAGGGTTCTGTGCCCTGGGGGTGCTGTGACGGAGCTGCTGTGCTTGTGCTCGCCCCATCGCCACCTGTTCACAAGCTGTGCAGACTGCATGTTGCCCATGTGGCTTCGAGAGCAGGCAACAGGTGTGGTGCTATGCGCAGTGAGGGGGTGGGGAGAGGAAAGAACAGGCCTCTGGGTATTTGGCTTAAAGGGCTCCTCGTCTCCCTCAGCCCCTGCCTGGCTGGAGGGGCCTGAGGCCAGGCATGCTCCTCCCCCCCAACTGGTGCACCCCTTGCTTAGAGACCCATGTTGGGAAAGAGCCGGCTTCATTGCAGGAGGCTGGACTAGATGACTCTTGTGGTCCCTTCAAGTTCTGCAACTCTTATGATTCCTCCCCTGTAGGATGAGCCGGTTGCCCTGGACAAGCAGCACTCCCGGGACTCAGCCGCCATCACTCATTCGTCCTACACACTGCCAGCCTCTTCTTTCTCCCAAGATCCCGTCTATATCAACGGGAGCCTGAACTACAGTTACCGGAGCTACGGAAGCCTTGGAGGCAGCCTGCAACCTGCCTCCTCGCTCCAGACAGGGAATCACAGTAATGGTAAGCAGAGGGTGGGGGGGGGAGAAGCTCTGGCTCAACACCCCCCCCACACCAATTATGCTTTTAGAAAGCTTTCACTGGTGCCACAGGGAGCTTTTAAAAAGCCTAATTGCTGTGGGGAAACGAGGCAGTTGAGAAGGGGAGGGGTGCAAGAAGCGAAAAGAGAGAAAGGGGCCAGGAAGAGAATGGAGTCGATGAATGTTTCGTGTGCATGTGAGAAAAAGAGGAAGTGTGGGGTGACTCTGCCCCCCCCTTTGTGTCTGCCGCATTCACTGCTGGCCTGTGGCGTGTGGAAGGTCCCCCACAAGGGCATGCAGCCCTCAGGCTGAAGAATGCCCTGCTGTGCCCTCAGGTGCAGAGTCTCGTGAGCCAACACAGCAGCCCCTCGCCCTGTGCATCTGTCGTTTGTTGTGCCTTTGGCCTCAGGAACGGGAGACTCTGGGGCTCCTTTGACAAAACGTGGAAGTGTGAACCTCCCACCATCTTGCCCGGTTGGTTTTTGGGAATGGGGGGAGGATCCTCTGAGTGCCTGTCGTGAGGTGTGCCTCAGTGGCCTCTGGCCTCCTCTCACTCCCAGCTTGCCCTCGCTGGAAGGATGTGATTTCTGGAGCCGCAAAAGATGCCTCTCTGGGATTAACGCTTCTCATCCCTTCCTAATGCCTCTTAACTCTGAAGCAAGATCCCACCCTGGGCTCCAGCCACTGAAGCCTAATCCCCTTGAGTGAGAGGAGGAGAGGGCGATGCGTTTGGCTCCTTGAAGATTGCGGGTCCTTGAGTGCACCCTGCTTGGGGGGCACTGGCCCTTCCTCTGCTGGAGAGCCCTGGGGCCTCAGGCCTTCTTCTGCTTGGCACTTTCCCAGCTTGGTTGCTTTCTCTCTGCTCAGGGCTCCTTGTCCCATCTCAAACCTGCTATCTCCTGCACCCTGCTTAGGGCAAATGGCTGGCCTGTCAAGCTTGCCCAAAGCTCCCTCCTTGGCTGTCTACACCTCCCTGGGCTGCCCTGCCTTGCTATCCTTCTGGAGGCAGCCGCAGACAGTGTTTGGGGAGCAATGTGGTCTCAGAGCCCAAACAGCCATCGCTTTCTAACACTGATGTACTTGCGGGTACTCCTCTGTTTCTTTAAACGTGTGCCCCGCTTTGCCCCTTGGCTCAGAGTGGCTTACGACAGTCCCACTAAAGCCAAAACAGCCACCCAAATCGCACGGGTTGTGTTGTTCCCGGAGGCTGATGAGCAACACGCATCCCTGTGGCGGGAAATCTCTCTTCCGGGGCAGGGCTTTTGGGGAGGAGGGCAGGCTCCCCCGTGACCTGCCTGCTAGCAGCATCCTTTGTGCTTCCTGACCGCCCCTCTCCTGCTCTTTGCCTGCAGGCCCCACCGACCTCAGCATGAAAAGTGGGGCGCCCAGTACCCCCACCCCTGCCACCACCAACAGCACGAACAGGGGGGTGCCAGCCGCCCAGCTCAGCCCCACGGAGATCAGTGCGGTGCGGCAGCTGATCGCCGGTTACCGGGAGTCCGCAGCCTTCCTCCTCCGCTCTGCAGATGAACTGGAAAACCTCATTTTACAGCAGAACTGACTGCTGGCCTCCCTTTGGCTCCTGTGCCAGAAGACACTGTCCTTTGCTTGCAGAGGGGCTCCCTTTGATAATCTGCTCAGGACTGGCCATTGCTCTGCCTACCAACCACCTCCAAGCTGGCACAGGTTCTGACTATTTTTTTATAAGGTGGGATCCAAAAAGATCTGTTTCTTCTTGGAGCAGGAGCCCAGGGCCTGAGGACCTGCCTTTTGAACCTGCCTGCGCCAGTGCACTCCAACAACGACCCAAAGGAGCCGGCCTGCAGCCTGGAGAGACGTAGGACTATTTTGGGGGGGGGAGGAAGACGTTGGGGTGGGGAGAGCTGGTGGGGGGGGATGGAGCTACAGGCACAGTCAGAATTTACTTTTGTAGAGCCCCCTTTCCAGCACCTGCCCCCCCCATCCTGCCTCTTCCATATCTTAGAAATTCCATATTTATTGAGAAACGGGCCCTCCCTCGCCAGGATTTCTCCTCCCCTTCTCCCTCTCTTCCCCCACCCCCTAATTTATTTTTCTTTCTTTTTTTGAAAATGAATTTTTGAGTTTGTACAGATTTGCCACTTTTGTGTCTGTCAGATGAGGAGGAGGTTTAATCCTGCACCGTCACACATTCCGTCCCGTGTTCCCGGGGGGCTGGAGGGTGAGGATGGGGAGACCAGCCGCCCAGGCAGCTGCAGACCCTCTGCTTCTTCTCCCACTTTTCCACCAGGCAGCCCTGTGGCAGAAGCCGCGGGGCTCAGAGGCCAGCCCCGTCCCCCAGCCACTTCCAGTTAGCAGGACTTGCTCTGGTCACTTTAAAGGAAAAGCCCCTGGGGCCCAGAAGAGAAGCAGCTGCCCAGCCTTCTTCCTCCACACTCTACCTCACTCTGCGTTGTGGGTTTTTTCCAGACTCGGGGAGAGTCCAGTCGTCAACCCTCAGGGGCATTTGAGCCAGCAGACCAGGCCTGTTCCTCGCTGCCCTTCCTAACTTTGTTTTTTGGGGAGGGGCTTGCTCAAGGCAGGGTTGCATTAGCTACATGAAGGGGAAAGGGAAGGGACGAAATGCAGCTTCCTGTTCACGTCATTCCTGGAAGGGTTTTGTTTTTTTATATAAAGGCTTCTTTGCAGCAAACTAGGCAAAGGACTCTTGCAAGAAGCCCAGTTTCTGATGCGTGGAACTAGGCTCGAGCCACTACTTTCTCCCCTCCAGTTCTCCTTCCCACAGCCCCCGCCCATGCCTCTCCACCCACGAAATGCACTTGCTTTTTTGCTCAGTGCAATATTTTTTCAGTGCTGCTAAAATCAGGAATGGAGGAGCTGAGGCAGCAGAGCCAGGCCATGGGAACTGCTCAGAGCCAGAAGCAGAGGACACCAGAAAGCCCAAGGCCTCGGAAATGGGGTGAATTTGCTACACCTCCCCTCTGCTCCTAGCTGGGTAACTTTGACTGCCCCCAAGCTTCCCCGTGATGCCACAGCCTGCTAGGGAAAGGGCCACAGAGTACCAGCCCTTGCAAAGTTTAGGAGAAATTTGCAGCAGCAGCAGCAGCAGCAGCAGCACTCCTAAATTCCTTATTGGAAGCTCTCCCATTTAGGGCCCATAGGCCATTTTCCTATCGGAAGTGAGCTTCTTTTGTTCAGAGTTTTTATTTGCCTTGTTTCATGAGGTGAAAGAAATACAACACTCCATTCCTACGCCCAGTTTGTATGGAAACGACTTTTGCTTGTTTGAGAGGAACTTTCTTCCCCGTATATTCGCTTGGGATCAGACTTAAGTTTTAAGCCACATTTTGTACCCAAGAAGTTCTCAGGAACAAACAACTGCAGACCCTTGGCAATTGCGGCTCTTCATGGCTCGGTTGCATTGTTTCTCCGTGAGCGTGGCTTTGTTGCACATGAGAATTCCTGATCCTAGTTCACATCCCCAGAGTTTCTCTAATTTTAGTCCGCCGAGTGACACCCCAGGGGTTCCAGGGAAGGCCCTCCTTCCAGCCCCCCTTCTCTCTTGATTTCCTCTGCAGCAGAGAACACCCAGGTGTGCGTGACCTGCTGCTTCTCCCTCTCAACTTTGATTTTCTGTAAATATTTATTATTGTGAAAGGCCCAGGAAAGAATCAGCCCTTACCACACCGCTTCTGTGCAACCCTGAGCGTTGAAAGTGTGGCAGAGACAATCGCTGTCCTTAATAAAATCCTGGTGTTCGGTTTTGTCATGTGCGGCCTTCGCATTGCTGGAGGCGCCACCAGGAGCCATAGCCATGAGGCGGGGGCGGGGGGGGGGCTGTTTACCCAAGAGAACAGGCTGCTTAGGTAAAAAGGTCTCCCCCACCCCACCCCGGGTGTCATTTTTTAGAGTCCTCTTCACTAGATCACTTTGGAACTTGGCTTCGTGGGCGTATGTTGCTGCTTTCGTTTTTTAAACCACTGGTTAGAATGTTTTGAGACTGATCTGGTAAGGCTCACGGAAAGAGACCAACGGGAAAGCCAACCGGGGCTCACAACCGACATCAGGGTTGGGTGGAGTTCAGGTAAGTATAGCATCTGTGGTCACATTTGGGCCACGGAAGCCATCTTTTGTGTGTGTGTTTATAGCTCTAATTGTCTTAGGACATCTCTGTGGTCTTCAGCCGATGATCCCTATTGAGTAGGGACCCCGATTCCTGCAGAAGGCCCAGCCCACCTGTTCTTAAAAACAGGACGAGAGCCCACAGAACTGCATGGGCCGGCAGGTCTTTTTACAAAAACCGAGGAGAAATCTCCACCCACAAGTCCCTTCCCCATAGCAGCATTTTGGGCCAGGGAAAGGCATTCGCAGGATTCCAAGTAGAAACACCCCCCCCAAACATTCTCCCAACACTGGAAGGCCCTCCCCTCTCTCATAGACGGCTGTAACGTTTAGTACCAGTTCATTTACGAGAAATGCTGCTTTGAACTCAGAGGGTTAAATAAGATTTTGATTTGTAATTTTTTGTAAAACTTTTTACAAGGTAGCCTAGTGATTTCACCGGAATACCAACTACAATCTGTCCATGGTCTGATTTTTATATAATTTAGTGGTGCTTTAGAGAAAGTTCGGTTTGGTTGTTGTTTCAGAGCTGTACAGCTCAGTTCTTCGCCTGTATCTACCTAAGACCAATGTGAACCTTTGTACTTTTTGCTCCTGACTTTGGACTCAGTGAAAGTGTACTGTTTACATGTACAGAACTCCCAGCACATCCCGTGTTCTGCAAGACCTGCTCTTGGTGAGACACCCCCTCACCCTTGTTCATCTGCTTAGCAGAGCCACAGACTCTCTCATCGGCACCCTGCCCATCTCTGTGCACAAGAGCGCATGCCCGCCCCACTCCTGGGATGTGCTGCTGCAACCCAGAGGGTTTGTACACAAGCCATTCCGTGTTCTCCAGCGACCAGTTCAGCTATCGGGATCTTTAATGCGGTAGGACTAAGGTGAAAGCAAACAAGCTAGAATCTCCCTCGCTAGTCAGTCCACAGGATGGCACTACTTAATTCTGTCTTCTGCTCTCTGAGCACCAAGGCACAAGAAACAGGGGCTGTGGGGCACGCGTGACCCAGGAACGAGACTGACGAAGCCCAAGAGGCACCCAGACTTCCCTAGAGATGCTAGAGGAAGGAAATGGCACTTAAAACCAGCTTGAGAAGGTGACACTTTATGGCTTAAATCTATTGAATTCTAAAAAAAAAAAAACCTTCCCTGACAGGCACCTATGCAACTTCATGTGGCTCTTCTAAGCAGATGGGCACTTCCTCCTCCATGTGCTATGGAAATACTTTTTGTGTTATATACAGTGGATCTTTTTCCAGTAAATGTGGCTTAATATTTTAATTCTTAGAACGTGTGTTTGTTCTATGTAATGCAACTTAATTCTGTTCTGTTTGTGAAATGAGTAGCACAGGCCATCCTCCTTGTCCCAGTCACTTAAAAAAAGACCAACGAGCTGTTTAAATCGAGCGGTTCTTTCCATCCATGGTATTACTTGCTAAATGCACTGATTTCATAAGTATGTGGAATTTTTTTGAGTCTGTATATCATATTATAAGACTGAATCTACTTAATAAACACTGTATAACAAACAGAACGCATTTTCTAGTTTCCAGTATGGCTCCCAAGCAGCTGTAGACTTCTTCCATCTGTAGGCCTACACAAAGCAGTGTTCTGGTCCAATCTGTTATTATTTTAATTAATTAATTAAGCGTCCTCCCTTCACCCTAAGGTCCCAGGATGAGTTACATTAAAACCACTTTATAATAACTTTTTAATAAATAAATATATGCACGTCATGCCAAAAGCCAGGATAAACGGGAACCTTTCTTCAGCATTTAATGTCAATTTTATAATAAAGTTGCTAGGTGCACCTCTGGGTGCGGGGAGGGAGTTCCATAGCTTAAAGGCCACCACAGAGGCCATCTCTCTGTCTACCATCTTCCAGGCCTCTTAAGGACAGAGGAACTACCACCAGGAGGCCTCCTCGACCAATCTCAGCACCTGAGGTGGTCTTTTGGGTATTTGGCGTTGGAGTCATTGAGGGCTTTAAGCACTAATGTGAGCACCTTGAACTGGGCCCAAAACTAAACTGGCAACCAGTGCAGCTGTTTTAACACACAGGTTAAAGGTAACTGTTAGGGGTCCTTTACCGTTCCAGTTGCGAACGACTCTGGGGTTGCGGCGCTCATCTCGCTTTACTGGCCGAGGAAGCCAATGTTTGTCTGCAGTTTTCCCGGGTCATGTGGCCAGCATGACTAAGCTGCTTCTGGCGAAACCAGAGCAGCACACGGAAACTATTTATCTACTTGCACTTTAATGTGCTTTCAAACTGCTAGGTGGGCAGGAGCTGGGACCGAGCAACGAGCTCACCCCGTGGCAGGGATTCGAACTGCCAACCTTCCGATCGGCAAGCCCAAGGGGCTCAGTGGTTTAAACCACAGCGCCACCCACGTCCCTTAACACACATGTTAAATAGAACCCTAGCCAGTAATGTAGCCGCTGCATTTTTAGACCAACTAAAGTTTCCGAGGAGTCTTCAAGGGCATCCCCACATTCAGTGCACTGCAATAATCCAATATGGCAGTTACCAGAGCATGGAGTATGGTGGCCGAGTCATCTCCCTCCAGCAGCGGTTGGAGTTAGCGAACCAGCCAGAGCTGAAAAAGGCAATCCTAGCCACCAAGACCACCCAAACCTCACGACAGCATTGAATACAGGAGCAGGCCTCCCATCTGCAAATCTCCTAGGGGAGTGCAGCCCCACCCAGGGCAACTTCAGTGTGGGATGCTTTCCAGCAGGGAGCTGTGTTACTGCATTGCACGAGAAGCAAGTCTCAAGAACATCCCTTCTTGCTAATTCCCTTGCATGGAACTGGTGAAATATCAGACGGAAGATTAAAACCACAAGTTTGCTTTTTCAAAATGTTTATTTTTTTTCCAATACCACAAGGGACATACAACACCAGGGGTCATCAGAGAGGACTCCCCCCTCCCCACCAGACCAGCATCAGTCTGTACACTACAGTGGCCCCGAGGGGGTGCAGAGTGAGGGGCCCCAACTCTGCCCCCCCATCTTTGGTAAGCAGGTTTTAGACCATCAGCTTAGTTGCCTTTAATACCGCAATTCTTTTAACCTCTCTCATCTCCGTGTTTCCAACTAAAAAGCTGCTACATTGATTTAAGAGTAAACCTTTCTGGTAAACGAGGTCCAGGTTTTACACTTCTATAGCTTTTGAGCGGGGAGGGCTACAATTAATGAAAAAGAGGAGTCCGGTCAAGGAAGAGGTAGGTAGGAGCTAAAGGAGAAGAGGAAGATGACTGACCTTCGCTATCCATTTGCTCTAATGAAAACGGAGTCTTTGCTTCCTCTCTCGCCCCTCAAGAGGGAAGCCCGTTGCAGCCAACGCAGGGCACCCAAAGGCGAGGCGCGCTGGCTTGCCTGCTCCCACCGGCTAAACGTGCCACCTGAGCGCTTGCCTCCAGCTCCCTCTAGAGTTGCAAGAGGGGCAGTGAGAAGCACAACTTCGGAGCCAGAGCAGCTGAGCGAGACCTGAAACAAACGCCGCACCTCTTGCTCAAAGAGCAGGAGAGGCCGTTGCAGGCGTGAGGCAGGACAGAACACAACAGCAGCTCCGATTATGGACAGCAATTGGTAACCAACACCACTTTAATGCAATACTGCTGCAGCCTGAAAAATAAATGAATTTTAAAAAACCCTTTTATGTACATAACATCAATTTACAGAATTGCCCAGTACTGTGTACAACATATAAATACATGATCCAACAGATGCATAGAGGGTACATATAGGAGCCAAACATTTCACTTTTTACACCCAAGAACAAAAAGTTTAAAAAATTCTGCTTAGAAAATAAAAAGGTCACACCCAGCCCCACTGCCCCTTGGTGGTTACAAATCCTCTGGCGCAGAGGCTGCCTGCGACAGAAGACAAGGGCAGCTGAAGCCTCTGCCCTGACACAGCTGCGCACAGCCAGGCCCCTCCAATACGGAAGATGACGCCACACTCACCATCTCTGTGGTGACCCTCGTCCTGCAGTCCAGCCCTAAAGCCCACAACCATTTATTTCCTGCTCTCTCTAAGTGGAAGGATCTAGAAAAACAACCACCTCTCTCCCCCAACCCAAGTCGGGGAGATTGCAGGAAGGGAGAATGGAAGACTGAATTCTGCTCCCCCTGCCAAGAGGGGTCTGCTTAACCCAGCCGCTAAAAAAGAAAGAAAGAAAGAAAAGAGGATGGTGCTGGCTCCAGTTCCCATGGAGCAAACCCTCCCTCCTCAAAGGGCTCAAGGAACACAAATCACTAGTGCCAAGGAAGGCATTAAGCAAGCAGAACGTTCAGCAATTCTTGTGGGTGGGGGCAGGGAACCCCTCAGAAATGGGATGGTCCAATCCTAGCAGGAAAATCAAATATACAGTGCTAACATTGCCTCTATTATGACCAGAATATTTTGTGTACAGGTTCCAGAATCCTCGTTATCAAAACAGACACACGAAATATACAGCTCCCACCCACCCCAAATCCCTGTTCCAGGGCCGTAATTCATCATCTTACCACAAGGCACAACACACAAAGCTTGGAGGGGCCAATGCAGTCGTCATGACAAAACGCCCCACAGCCTTTGCACATGATCATGGCTTTAAGGCTGCATGAACACTTGAGTGAAATCTCTTCCATGCTGCCGCTATCGGCAAACATCTGTGCGGAGAGGGACATGCCACGGGACGTGGCAAAGTTCGCTTTGTGGCTTAGCTGCATCATGCTTCCTGCAAGGCTCCTGGGGAAGCCTGGCACGCTGGAGGCGCAATTAAAGCCGGCGGAATTCAGCTGCAGCTTTGAAAGCTTCCCGTAAAAGGCCTGCTTGATGTTGAGCTGGGAAGGGATGGAGGAAGGCTCCAGGGGCTGGGCAAGTCCCTTCCCCAGTTCCCTTGGCCACTTGAAAAAGGGCAAGTTCCCAACAAGAGGGCTGCTTTGCAGGTGCTCCATCAGCTCCACAGGGCTTGGAGGGGCCTCCTTCCTCTTCTCCACGTTCCTCTTGGCTGGGCCAGAGCATGGCAGGACCTTCTTGTTCTCCACTCCTCTGCCGCCGCCGCCTCCAACGTGCGCACGCTGCTTCGGAGGCCAGTCTTCCCTTGCGACTTGCACGCCATGTCCAGGCGCGGCACTCTTGGGGGGCGGCAGCAGCTTACTGTGTGAAAGCATGCCCAGGATGGGAGATGGTTCCAGGACTCTGGAGTGCTGGGCTCTGGCAGCTGCACTGCAGGCGAAGCCAGAGCCAAAGACCTTCTTCCCAAGAGCTCCTCCTCTCGGTTGATCTGGACCCAGAGAGGTTGTGCCGGTCGCTTTCAGCTTCTCTTCTGGGCTCCCAGGGGCAAGAGATTCTGCAGGGACAGCGGCAGAGGGATCTTTTCGGTTGTTGTAAGTGCAGGAAGAGAACGCTGCTCCTCCCAGGCCCAGCTTATCAGGTTTCTGGGAAGTACCCACTGCTCGATCTGGAGACTCTGAGCTTTTCTCTGGTTCCTTCTCTACCCTCTCCACAGGCAAAGGTGTTGGGCCAGAAGTGCACTGCCTCTTGGGGAAGTCCCTCAGAAACCTTGGTGCACGGTATCCATTGCCGACTTCGCCACTTGTGTCCAACCCCTCACCCCTAGAGGGCTTTTGGGAAAGGGAACTCTTGCACTTGCTCTCTACTGGGAAAGAACAAACTTTGTTCAGAGAGGAGGCTGCAGCTACTATGTTAGGGCTGCTATGGGCCCCTGGAAGAACTGCTTTGAGAGGCAGTCTTCCCTTGAGCAACTGAACCACCAGAGGGTTGCTTGCTTCTATAGACAGAGGCTTGGGGGTCTCCGCCACCAGAGGTCTTTCCTGGCCTTCTGCATCAACACCGAGGGAAGATTCACAAGCTTCCTGCAGACGAGATGCCTGCAGTTGACAGGTGTTGGTGGCCCCCGCTTCTGACAGCAAGCCCTCCCTGCACAAGGAAGTGTCAGTTCTAACCAAACTTTCTAACTTGATCCTGTTATATTCCTCCTGGTGGCCCCTGTCGGGATCAGCTCCTTTCTCGGTAGCTTTGCTGTAGTCCTGCCCCAACTCTGCACTCTCATCCGTCAGCTCAGCTTCCAAGTCGGATGCTGTCTCCGTTGTCTCGCTCAGAATGCTCCTGGTTTCCTCGTCACTGGAGGGGCTGGTGCTTGGCTTGGCCTTCACCTGCTGTACGTCTGTCTCCACTCCTGTCCTCAGCAACTCCTCCCACGGGGGAAGGCCTTCAGACAGCAGCAATGGCTTCGACAGAGAAACTTCCTCCTTGCTGGTGTTGTGTAGCCCGCCTGGCGTTTCTCTTTCGTGCCACTGTGGGGCCAGCTGGCTTGGGGACATGTGGAACTGTGAGGAGAGTTCCTCTGTCCCAGCAATGCTGGAGTTCTCTGGATTGGGGATATGCTCCTCTGTGTTTGGGCCAGATGTCATATCTAGCCCCTTTTCTAGTTTGCTCTCCAGACCAATGGTACGGCTAGAAGTACCAGGGGTGGTTTCTTTCAGAATAGAGGCACAATTCGGAGGGGAACAGTGGCCACGCTCATGCCCTTCCGTTCTACTTGCACCTTTGAAGAGAGCCACTGGAGAACGGCTTTGTTTGCTGCTTGGAGAAAATTCACTTCCCTCCTTCCTACCACGTCCCTCTTGGGAAGCAGCGCCTGCAGACGGTTCACTACTTATATCACTTGGGAGCTGCCCAGAGCTGCCCACTGGTGTCTCCGTGGCTAGGTGACCAAGGGACGGCTCGGCCACAGCGCCTCCCGAGCAGCTGCCCCCGGAAGCTTCTGCAAGCTGGGTAGCACCTTCAGACCGAAGTGAAGTCAGGCTGGAGGCCTGCCCAAACGCAAAATCTCCCTCAGCCTGTGGGGAAGAGGCCTTTTGCACGCAAGAGTCCGCTTTGGCCAGCTCAAAGCCGGTCTCCTCTTCTAGGTGTGAAAGCGACAGTAGCTGTGCTCGCTGTAAATCTGACCTGCACTTCCCACGAGTTCTCTTCGATCTCCAGTACTTGGGGCGGTGACCGGGCTGCCGGATCCTGCAGCCGCTGCCACCACCACCACCGCCTTCATCCGTGTTCCTTCCACCTCCTCCCGGCCCACCCCCACCTCCAATGGCGGTGGCAGGAGAAGCAGCCTCTCGCTGGATCCTGCCTTGCACAGCACAGGCCTTAAAGTCAGCAGAGGCTGAGTCCCCGTTTCTGTCCTGGCCGGAGGGTTCTGTATTGGGGATAATCCTAGGACATATCTGGTAGGCTGGCTGACCTTTAACCACCCAGGGGGGTTTGATGCGGGAAAGTTGAATCTGTAAAACAAGCAGACAAGAACAACAACAGTTTTACACAGTGCACTGGTGCTTGGGTATGTGTGCTTTAGAATTACTGCACAGGAGCCCTCGATGGGGCTCCAGAAAACTTGCAAGCACGTCATTTCAACTTTTATTTTCAAAAGATTTATGGGAATGCCATCCAGTAAAGGCATTCATTACCAGAGTCCTAGGAAGGAGGAGTATCTGATAAGCTAGTTGGGGTTTTTGTTGTACTGTCTTTTAATGCTTTTCATTGTTTCTGCAAGCACCTTGAGCTCCGGGCAGGCAGCAAATAAAACACTTCTGTAAAAAATCTGTATGCCCAGGAAAAACCTTCCAACTCAGGCCTTTTCTCACCCAGAAGGTGCAAGCTGAAGCTCTGCTAAGAGTGAAGCTCTAGGAACTGACCCAAATGGGACTGGGGTGGAGGGTATGGGAGAGGCTCTCCAAAGTTGTCCAAGTGGGACCAAGTTAAGAGGGGGGGGGGGCGGTGCCCAAAGCTGTTAATGGCGTGGGTGCATTTAAGCTATACTGAACCAAGCAAAAGGCTTTGTTGGAAGTAACTGCAAGAGGAACCCCTCCATTTACAGACGGGCAAACAGAAGAGAGAATAAGCTTTCTTTCTGAGGGAGGGAAGGCTTTTCCAAGCTCATCCACCTGCTTGCCTGCCTTCCTTCCCCACCCATGCCCAGAGGGTGAGAGAAAGAGAGGGAGACTATCGAACACAGGCTGCTCCAGGTCGCTCTAGCCCTGGTCCCCAAAGGCCTGTACGACCTGGTATGAGGCTGTTACCTACCCGGATGGGTGGGACTTTGGGTTCCTCTTTGGTGGGCTGTGGCTTTTCTGGGTGAACACTTTCAATTGTGTTACGAAAGGACTGACGATCTTCAAGCCGGGGCTTCTTCTCGGGGAAGGAGGCGGAGGCAGCCTGCTCAAAGCACTTCCTCTTCTGCTCCTTGGACTCCTGGTCTTGGGGCTCCTGGGACAGGCTGGGGATTCTGCCCAACGCTGCGGCCGCCGGCATCGCATCTTCTACCTTGCTCTGGATCTTGGTCGCCTCAGGTGAAATCTCCGATTTCGGAGACACCCGGCTCCTTTCGCACAAGTCCACTTCCGGCTTCGCGTCCCTCTGACTGGGGGACTTCGGCTCCGGGGACGGTGCCTCTTTGGCCGCCGCCTCCACGTGCTCCACCTCGCAGAGTTTGCTCAGGCTCTCCCGGGTTCTGCACCGGAGGGCGCGCTTCTTCAAGAGTCCATCTCGCTGCCGGGTGACAGGGCCACGCTGCACCCTTGGAGGTTCCTCTTGGGCGGCTGAGGCAGACCTGGTCTCTCTGTTGACTGGCGCTGCTTTTTCTTGCTGAGGCACCTCAATAGTCAAGCCCAGCCTGTAGGTCAGGGACACAAGGCAGGAAGTGAAAGGAACCCCAAATTAGTTAATGGTATTACGGCTGATTCTACTGGAACTTGACACCTTGCCTGAGCCAGTAGCCAAGATCAACTGGGGCACCTCAGGATAAACTTAGGTTGTTGTACATTATAAAGCAATTCTGCCTTGAATTTCTACAGCATTTTTAAAAAGTGCAAATTCTTGCTAGGTCAACCCATTGCCTTCATACTCATTTGCCAGAACTTTAATTGCCATTGCAAATTAAAAGACCTAGGGTGATAGCCAACATTAGTAACTTTGGTCAATTAAATTAGATTAGTCTATTCCAAGTATGACTTGGCTGGATATCACCTGTAGAAATTCATTTTAAAAATTAAAAGGTTGGAGGTAGAGATGGTGAACTGTGGCCTGCCTGAGAGAGTTAAACCTCTGCAGGTCCCCTTGCAACACTACACCCCCCCCACCACAAGTGATAGCACAGAAACAGATGAAGTTAGCTTGTGGTTTTGTTTTTTAAAGGTATTCAATAAAAACACCCACTTACTTTTGCCCATAGTAGTCCTCAAAAAACCTCTCCTTCCACTGCTCCGTTTTCTTTTCCTTCTCCATTTCTTGTCTTATGCGAACCTGCATTTCATGAGTGAACTCCCCTGCAAAAAAGCCAACAATGAGAAGCTGGAAGCAGCAGGCGCTAGTATCCGAACTCAACAAACGTTGCATCAGGAAAGTGCATGGCAGGGTTAAGTCCAGGGCAGAAGAGACTATACTTCTGCGCTCTTTACAGGTGAGCTGTAATGATCTCAAGGGGACTCTGCCTTGGTGCCAAAGGGACAGCATTAATTGGGGCAAAATCATTTTTAAAAACCTATCAACGTGGGGAAACTTTGCTGAATGCTTTACATGTTCTTTGAAATCTTACGTTAATTACATATGAACAACTTTTTTTTTAACTGACAGAGTTCTACTGTCTTAAAGGTGGAAACACAATGCTGCCATTCTGCTTTCGCAGCAGATCTCCCCTTTCCTCTCCCCTGCAGTCCCTCATGCACCTTCAAGATCTGCTCCAGAGGGTGCATGAGAAAAGGAGAGCATGGGGAATAAGCCCCGTTGGATGCAGCTGAATGCTTCAGAGCAATAGGGGAGCCATGATCCGGGGGAACCTTGGGAGTTCCCCCCAGCATTTCAGGGGTTCCTCAATGAGGAAACAAGTATGGTGAACAAGGTTTCCCCCCCAAATGCAGCTTGTTCACCACACAACTAATTGTCCCCTGCAATGTATAGCTAGAGGACGGCCTGGGCAAGATCCGAAGCACCTACTCAGTTTGCATGAGGACAATGTCAATGCCAAAGAAGGTGCCCAAGGTTAGAACAAAGCCTAGAATCGTTTGCAACAAAGTGGCTCCATGGCAGACACTCACAGGTTTCTTAGAATCCAAGTTGGTGCCAAAAGCTGTTATCTTTGAAAGGGAGATGAAAGGAAACCTAAAAGTATTTTGGCTGCCTTCCTCTTTAGAGATTTCTCCCTCCAGGGATTCAGAAAGATGAGGATCTTTAATCTTTTAATACAGACTCATAGCTGAAAGGATCGTATATACCCTGCCTTTTCACTAAAAGTATACAGTGATCAAGTTGGCTAAAAATAAATTCGTAAAAACAATTGCACGAGTCTCTGATTTTAGACTGGCTTTCTGGCCTAGGAAGTTAAAGTACAGCGGTACCCCGGTTTTCGAACGTAATCCATTCCAGAAGACAGTTTGACTTCCGAAACATTCGAAAACCGAGGTGCAAAGGGCGGTTGGCAAACTCAGTAGAGAAAATGGGGGGGGGGGGGAACGACTCAGCGGAAGCCGTTTGACTTCCGAGGCATGTTCAAAAATGGGTACTTCCGGGCTTTCAGCGTTCGAAAACCGAAACGTTCGACTTCCGAGACATTCAAAAACTGAGGTACCACTGTCCTTCTGAGCCATGCAGATCATTCAAAATACTTAAGAGCCAAATTGATGATCTGCCCTGAAAATACAGAGGTATCACCACCGATGCCTCATAATCCACCAGAAGCTTCCTGCAGATTTTTTTCCCAAGTCACCTTACACAACTGAGCAGAGCAGGAGGCATCCTAGGCCTTGCACTCCAACAGGCTTTGTTGCTAAAGCAGACAGAATTAGATTTTACTGAATCTGTCTGCAAGGTGGAAGGTCAGCAAAGAAGATGGATGCTGACACTGGGGAAAAGCCGCCAATGTTTCTGTTAAGGTTGTTTGGAGCCTGTGCTCCTGCCACCTCATAAATCAAGAGGGGCAGAGTGACTTGCACCACCACAAAGCAGGATCCGGGGGGGAGTTCGACTTTAAGTGTATTCTGTACTGCCTGGCCTCTACCGAAGCAGCCACTCCACCCCAGGCACCTACCATCAGCCAGCCTCTCTCTCCAGCTCTGGGCTGCGTGGGTGAAGAACTCGTTATTCAGAGCGCTCCCACTAAGCCGCATCAGCCCATCCGTCCCGGCCTAAAAGGAAACAAGCCACAGCAGATGAGAAGCTTGCACAAGTGTCGCAGAACAGAGGGGCAAGACGTGGCTGGTGGGGATCCGTACCTGCCTGTCCACTTCAGGGAGAAGGAGAAGCAGCTGCTGCTGGAAGTGCAGGGGCAAAACATTGAAGGTCCTGGAATTTATCAGCGCTCGCAGGTTTGTGTTGACGAGAATGGAGCCAGGCGTCTCAAAGTCTACATCATCGCCTCGGTTCCTCTTCATTTGTCCTGCAGTTTTCGAAGAGTCTCATAAAACCAGGAATATTTACACAGTCTACACGCAAGAGGCCCTGCCTGCAACCCGGTAGCTGTAGCCCTCCAAAACACAGAAGGCGCTTCCAAGCAGGTTTCCACAAATCAACACAGACAGCAGCAGAGGCCGATACAGGCAGCTTGAACAATTAGGTCTTTCAAAAGACCTTGGCATCACCTGAATGCCAAGAACAATGGAGCCACTTCGAAACCACTGAGACCTCCTGCCTAAAGAGCTTTCTGCTGCAGGAGGAAAACAGCTGGAGCATGTCTGGACAGATGTGTGGATGAATGGGTGTAGCAACTACCCCCCAAGCAAAATGGCAGGCCCCCAAAGGAGAGAGAATTGGCCTGGGGCTGCTTGCTTTAGCCAGCGAACACCTCCCCAGCCCTATACTTCAGGGGCCAACAGGAGCATCCACCCCCAGCCATTTAAAAAACCACCACAGGAAAACACCATCAGCTCATGCGGTGGTGGTAGAAGAGACACTAACTCAAGCATGCTTTACAAATGATTTTAATTGTCTGGACAGAGAAAAGTGAATAGCCTATCGCTTTATCCCCAGTCAGAACATTTAAGATTCTATCAGAAACTTTAAATATAGTCCTGCACAAGTACAGTAACTGATTCTCTTTGTTCCTGCTCCTTGAAGATTTGTAAGGAGTTTGTTTACCCACAGTAGCATAGAGGAATGTTAAAATTATGCAATGCTCTATGTTGTTAATTCCAAAAATCAGTTTAATGTACCAGCAAAACTACACATTAAAAGCCTGTAGAAATAAATGTGCTGGTCTAAGGTGATGGTACAAAAAGCAGGACTTCCAAGGCAGACCTGAATGCCTGGACTTGCCTATAAAAGCCCAGGGATCCTTCTGTTTAAAACAAAAAATCTAGATAGAGACAACAGACTGCACCTACCACTTGTGGGTTTCCGGAATCCTCGGATCAGCTGTGGAGGGTCCCTGCTGATTTCTGTCCTGCTGCGTATAGCAGTGTTGCCGCTCAGGGCAGAGGAACTGCTGCTGCTGCTGCTCTCGCCACCAACTTGTCTCCCTGTGAACCCTGAAACCAGTGAGCAAGGAGTACCCCACGAGACAACGTTAAACACTCCCCACATTCCTCACTGGACCTTATTATTATTAAACACAACCTCCACCAAGGTAAGCAGCTATGGCTCGGATAGGTAAGGGTATGGTCAGGTGAGCAAATGCCACGCTACAGAAATCCAAATCCTGACATTACAGTACTCAGTTTGCACAATTTATTCCAGCTCCCATTATCTTGGTTTTTTGGGGGCGGTGGAGGCAGGAAGTGAGAATAAGCGCAGAAAGGGATAGGCAGCTGAACAGGAAAGGAGCAGCCCCACCCAGTCCCCTCTGGTTTCAAAGCCCCCTTTGCTCCTGTCATTATGCTTGGCAACAATTACTTCCCTTCCTGTCTGTCTTCAGCCTCTAAGCCTGCTGAGAGAGCTTCTCATTCTTTTCTTTTTATATAGTGTCTAGATGTAAGCACCACGTAAATGATTAGGATGGTTTGATGATGGTAATATTGATGGTTTTTACACTGCAAATCACTCGAGTGATCCTTGGATGAAGGGTAGTATATAAATTTAATAAATAAAAAATATAATCATTTTAGAGTAGAAATGTCTCTAATTTATCCTTGCAACAATGCTATGAGGCGGATGAAGGTACAAGATTTTAATCTGCTAACAACTTTTTTGCCATCTCATTTTTGTGGATTTTTTGTATTTCGATATTCTTGCAAATTTAATAAAAATGATCTACTAAAAGACAACAACCCAAGAATGTTCCATGAACAAGGATCTGAACAAAGGCCACCCATGCTGAGGCCCTACAAGTATCTACAACTGCAGAGGCCGGGTGGTGGCTGCTGCAGCTATTGCTTTCTTCTCTTCTGTTAAAATAATAGTGTTAAATGAAGTCAGGGATGGAACTCAAAGCCTAGGAGACACTTTAAACCAATTTCCCAGTGAGCTGTATTCGGAACAAGGTACAATGTGTAGCAAAGAGCCCTAAAGGTAAAGGTACCCCTGCCCGTACGGGCCAGTCGTGTCCGACTCTAGGGTTGCGTGCTCATCTCACTCAAGAGGCCGTGAGCCGGCACCGTCGGAAGACACTTCCGGGTCACGTGGCCAGCGTGACGAAGCTGCAGCTGGCGAGCCAGCACCAGCGCAGCACACGGAAACGCAGTTTACCGTCCCGCTATAAAGCGGTACCTATTTATCTACTTGCACTTAAGGGTGCTTTCGAACTGCTAGGTGGGCAGGAGCTGGGACCGAACGACGGGAGCTCATCCCGCCGCGGGGATTTGAACCGTCGACCATGCGATCGGCAAGTCCTAGGCGCTGAGGTTTTACCCACAGCGCCACCTGCAAAGAGCCCTTAGCAGACCTAAAAAGTGCCAAAGAATCTCTGTTGTGCATGGCACTCGGAAGCTCTTGTGAGAGGTGCCAGATAGGGGTTTGGTACTGGAGGGCTCATGTAGATGTGCAAAGTCAATGGGGGTGGGGAGTTGGCTCACCTGAAGAAGTTTCCATATGAGCACCATTGACTTTCAGAGGAGTCAAAACTACACGGGGAAGCATCACTCCTGTCTTTTTCTTCTGTTTGCTTGCCTGTATCCCAGAAAAGACCAGAAGAAACACAGCGCTGGTGAGGAAGCATCAATTTAGGCTAAAGCAACAGGCTTGGCAATGACACCTCTCCTTTCCTTACTGGAGGCCCCCACCTCTTGGGGCTTCTCTAGCTCCCAGAGTTCCTGCACTGAGCCGGGAAACGATCAGTCCATGTGGCCTGCAATGTCTCCCTTCAACTCTTAAGATTCTAAGGCATATTCATAGCACAAATATCTGCAATATTCACTGAGGACAAGGCAAATGGCAAATTTATGTATTTAGAAAGGCAGGTTTATATTAAAGCCCTAAGGTAGTGTACCTGGGTAAACTAACTCAAAGTTGAATTCCCCAATCACAGTGACTCTGCTTCAATCCAAGACACACCTACATGGTTAATTGGTTAGTCCTCGAGCACGTGAGCAGACCGATGAACATTCTGAAGAAGAAGTCACAGCGCAGACCGTACACAAACTGTGAACTTCCTATTGTGTTTCATTCCTAAAGAGCCAAGTGGCACTCCTTTTTGAAATATTATGGCCAAGTCAGTCAGCGGTGGGAGGGGAGGGATATACTTGGACGAATTGCCAAATCTACATAATTGAATTCCTTCAGCAAAAATCTGGACAGGTACCTACCTGGAGTAGGTGATTTATGTGGCCCTTCTATGCAGCAATTCTAGACTGCCTGCCCAATCTTGCAAGGGCACTCTCCCTCCTTGTGAATTCCAACAACTGGTGTTCAGAAGCACTCTGCCTCCAATTGTGGAGGCAGAACTCAGCCATCGGGGATAGCAGCCACTGAAGGAGACTTTTGCAGAAGAACTGCCATGGCGGGTCAACCTGTGCAGCTGCAGGTTTATCCTTCTACTCTACCAGAGCTCTGTTGAGCCCTTCTTTTATTTTTTCTTCTTCTTTTACTTAAAAGGTTTATATGCATTGCTATTCTTTCTGATGCATTCTGCTTTGCCCCACTGCCCACAAGCCCCCAGTCAAATGCCCCCATTCTACCTGTGAGGCTGCTCTATGGCTCTCCCGAACAGCAGGTACATTCTTGCTCTGAGGCTCAGTGGAACAAGAGGCGCTTGAGGAGGTTTCATCTAGAGATACTGAAAAGAAAAAAAATCATCCCATCAACATTGGTGCAAGAAACAAGCAGCTCAGGGTTGGCCAATTGTCTGCCCCTGACAGGGCTGCACTTCCTCTGAAGAAGCAAGTAAGCAGTTCTGGATCCAGCTTCGTCACTGGAGACTCAGGTAGCCTGGGAGTGCCTTTTGCCAGATGAAGCTGGTACAGCAATTCTGGACATTCCTGGACGGTGACAGCTTGACCATGGTAATCCAGGCATTGGTGAATTCAAGCCTGGATTACAGCAAGGTGGGACTCTCCTTGTGCAGTTTGTGCAGAATGCTGCAGTGTGACTGCTCACAGGAGTGAAACCCATGTCAGCATATTACTGTCAGTTTGCATTTTTTGGTACAGAAAGTATTGATCTGATGTGTAGAGATCTTTCCTATTCTAATTAATCCAAGAGGCTTCTGGAAGCTTCTCTGTGTGAAAGAAACAAGCAGAAGGTTCATGATGTTTGGGTTATTCCTTCAGAGAAACTGAGTACAGATGGCTAAACCTGGATCTCTCTTTCTGTCAATGTCCTGCTGACTATAATAATAAGGCCAGGAGGAGCCTGGGTTTCACTACCTCTTTTTCCTTCTGGTGTGGTGTTCTGTATATAGTGTTAAGGTTTTAGTCTTCTTATAAGTTATTGTAAACTTAAGTCTGCTGCAACTGGATTTCTTATGGATTTCTTATGTCCACAATCCTGAATGTATTCGATTTGTGACCATTACGCTCATTTGCCTTCAGTAACAGTAAAGCTCTGCTGGATGAAATACTAATTGCCTCTGATCTATTTTTTTGCAAATTCTGCAATGTGTTTAAGTTTTTACTCTGCTAACTATACGCTGGAGTTCTGCTCTGGATCAGTATGAGTAGAATTAATGACAATTACACCTCTGCTTAAAAGATCTGCACTGGCTGCCAATCTGTATGTGGAACAATTCAAGATGTTACTATTGGTATATAAAACCCATAACAACTTGGGACTCGTTTACTTGAAGGTTCACCTTACCTCACATATGCCCACTCAACCACCTTGATCTGTAGAACTGACTTTTTACAAGTTCCACTCAGTCTCCACTTGAAAGGAATTATATTTCAAGCATGGCAGCAACTACAGTCTGGAACTTCCTGCCTACTGAAACCAGGCAGGCTCCCCCAGTTGGTGGGGCTTATTTGACAACAATGGAAAAACAGCTTTTAGTGTCATCGGCCCAGTCCTGTGGAACACTTTGCTGATATTCTGTTGCCTTCTGCTGCCAACTTTTAAAAGCTTGCTGAAAACTTTTCTCTTCTGCCAGGCCTAGGCAGCCAATTAAGAGTCATCTTCTTCTCTGGCAATCCCTCGTAGCTGAGTAAGATTGTCTTCCATGAACACAGTCTTAACGGCGAGTCCATAAGTGACTGTGGAGGCCAATTCTGGATCCACACATGCTTCCACAGTGGGGACATAGGTTTCCAGGCAGAAGTTGAGGGTTTGCCAAATGTGCCTTCCTCTTAGCATGTTTCTCCCTTTCATTCTGAGTTTGAGCATCTTCAAAGTCCATGACACCTTTGGTAAAGGCTGTTCTCCAATTGGGGCACTCGCAAGCCAGTGTTTCCAAATTGTCAGTGTTTACACTACATTTTTTAAGATTTGCCTTGAGAGAGTCTTTTAACCTCTTTCGTTGACCACCAGCATTATGCTTTCCATTTTTAAGTTCAGAATAGTTGCTTTGGAAGACGATAATCAGGCATCCGAACATGACCAGTCCAACGAAGCTGACATTGAAGAATCGTTGCTTTGACACTGGTAATCTTTGCTTCATCCAGTACACTGACATTAGTTCGCCTGTCTTGCTAAGTGATATGTAAAATTTTGGGGAGACACCGTTGATAGAAACTTTTGGGGAGTTGGAGATGGTGTTTATAAGCGGTCCATGTTTCACAAGTGTTCAGTAAGGTTGGTAGTACAATAGCTTTGTAAGCGAGCTTTTTGGTTTCCCTGTGAATGTCTCGGTCCTCAAACACCCTGCACTTCAATCGGGAGAAAGGCGCATTCACAGAACTCAGGCAATGCTGGATTTCAGCATCCATGTTGGCCCTTGTGGAAAAATAACTGCCCAGGTAGGAAAAGTGATCAACATTTTCCAATATGTCATCAACATATTGAAGCTCTATGACGGAAGTTATTGTAACCTTACTCTTTACACCCCCCAACAATGGTGTGTTGATATGTTTGGTTTTTATTTCTTTTTGCTGTTAACTTTTCATGACATTATTGTCTGGTTTTATGATTTTATAAACTGTTGTAAACTGCTGTGTTATACTTTTATGATGCAGCATTATATGAATATTTTTTAATAAATAAATTATTATTAATAATAATAATGTTTTTGGCACCTGGCCCAAACTTCTTCACTTAGGCAAGCCCACTCAGACTAGGGGACTCTCAGGGTCCCTTCCAACTCTACAATTCTATCTGACGCACACATCATTTTAGTTTATAATGTATATTTCAACTTGTGATGATTGTTTATATTTTGACATTTTGGGGTAAATCTTTTTAAGCTTCTGATTTTTATCAGTAATTTTTTTGTAAACTGTTGAGAGGGTTATACAGATTCTGTTAACTAAACAAAAACTCGGCCAGGCAGGCGCTTACTGTCATTATCGCCGCTCACAGTGCTGGCTTCGTTGGAGCCACTGCTTTCGGCCTCAGCGGCATCGTCCAGCTCTTCTCCTTCAGGGGCAGACAGGTTCCGGGACCACTGCACAGCATCTTTCTAGAAAGGCCAATCAAAGCTCTGGTGAATTTCCCCTTACGAATCAAAGTGGAAAAATCACAGGGATAATACTGAACCCAAGGGAACCCTGATGTCCAATACCTGGTTAGCAAACACACTAATCTCGATCTGTCCACCTTGATTAAAAGTGCTGCTTTAAGCACTGGCTTTAGGAAAAAAACAATATGCCGTGTGTCAGGTTAGTAGGTCTTATGGCACTAATGCTCAAACGTTTAAAAATCTTATGAGTGCTATGTAAGCTGAATAGCAGGTTAGAATATGTAAGCAGGTTAGAATATGTAAGCTGAATAACAGGTTAGCTTTGACTGTGAGCCCAGCTTGCAAGAAAGTCTAGATATCAGATTCTATCATGTGTCAGGTGTTCATTCAATATTTGCCAGCTAGCTAAGCCTTTGCCAAATCTCTGGTGTGGAGGAAGAGCAATCTGGTCTTACCTTGAGGGTGAAAAGGCTGATGCGCCCAGGGAGTTTGTAGAAAAGCCCCTCACAGCTCCTTGAATTGGAGTGGAGCATGGCATTCAGGCAGGCCAGCGGGGATGTGCCACTGAAGGAAGGAAGGAAGGAAGGAAGGAAGGGGAAATGCATCATTGGATATGGCAGCTCAGACACACATTGCTTTATAATTAACAGGAAAGTTATGGAAACTCTGCTACTTCAGCCACCCCAACCCAGCACAGCAAGGCAAGACACCCCAGTGTTGAAAAGAAACTTTCAGCCTGTCTGCACGGCATAACATATTGTTTTTGTCAAACTCCCTGATCAGAATAATCACTACCAAACCAAATACCTCAGTACTTGCCCAGAGTTACTGTTTTTTATTTTGTGAAACATAAAGGTGTGCTATGCAATCTGAAGTTAAATTCTGGCCAAATAATTTTATATTGTCCAGTCAAGATCAATTTTACAATAAGGATTCTAAAATACTGTTTTAAACAGGAGATGGTGAAGGGCAGAAATATTTTCCAGGAACAAGCCGCCTCGCTCCTCCCCAGTATATTTCCCTGGCTGCTGGTGGAAATAAGAGAGATCTTCAGCTTGTAGTGGGAGAAGCACACAAACTTGTGTGGTTTGGGGTTCTCCTTGAAGAAGCCACTGGCTATGCCTACATGCTGGGCTCCTAAGTGAAAAGCCCAAGGCACACCTTCTATTCCACATGCTTTTGCATCACTGCAGACACAGTTGCATGTGGAGACAAGAAGAATCTAAACTGCCTTCAGTACCATCAGGGGAAAAGGAGGCATATAAATAACTGAACTGAACTGAACTGAACTGAACTGAACTAACTAAACTAAACTAAACTAAACTAAACTAAACTAAACTAAACTGTGTTATAACATGATCTTTTATTTCAGAATGCCAAAGGCAAGGAGGAGGTGCAAATATGTGTTTGCCTCTTTAGGAATATCAAATGTTGGGAAAGAATGATAAGACATAATGATGTTTAGCTATGCTGGATCCCAACACAAAACTGCCTTGGCTTCGTGAACATGGTAACAATGGATGAAATGTTCTTCTTTGGGGCCCCTTTTACAGAGAAGCATTCACAGAAAATACAAAACATAGAAAGCAGAGCTCTTTAGGTGGAAAAAAAAATTTTTTTAAGATGTTACGCCATCATCACTGTGCCGCCCTCCCTTAAAGTGCTCTGTCAGATGCAGCTAATTTGAAAAGATTTCACACCTTCAAAATAAAGAGCCAGTAAGATTATTTAAGCTGATAAAGAAGCACAACTTGTTATCATTTCTAATGAATTAACAGCACAGTTAGTTGTGATCTGTACCAGGGTGGCAAATAAATTGAAATGAAATGAAATCCAGGAGGAAACATTTTAAATTCCTGAGGACAATTTTTTGCAGAGGCCCCATCCTTATTTAGAAAGTAATTTACCTTCTGTAGACATGCAGTGATTCCATGGCAATGCCGGTGACATGTGGAGAGGAAATGATGTATCAAAAGAAAACAGAATGGAATTAACACAAAATATTCAAACTCCAGGTGGAAGATAAGCTATTTCAGACAAAAAAAAAAAAAAAGTAACAAGGTATAGCCAGCTTGGGGCACTTTACTTCTGAAGTGCAAATAAAATTATTTATCTCATCTGCAAATAACTCTATACCTTATGCAGCTGGAGACTATAGGTATATCTAATTAAGACTACACTTTCATTCCTGCATTTTGGCTCCTGTCTCAGCTAAAGGTATTGCAAAATGAAGGATTGTACTCATTTTCTGAAATGTCTTATAACTGAATCTCAGCCCAAAACACAGCGTCAGAGTGTACCAAACATACTATGGGCCAGATTCAACTAATCAGATGCACTAGCAGAAGCCAGTGAAACAAGTTCTGCTAGTGAAATGGGACTCCCACCCTGCCCTCCCACAAGATGAAAAGCTTGCACTGACTGGACAGTGCTGAATTCCTCCCTCTCTCTGTAGTATATCTTTAACTCAACAATAAAATGCACATGGATAAATGTAGGGGCTCAGATCTCTACCTAAACCGCCATGAGATCTTTTGATGAAGGGCAGTATATAAATAATAATGATGATGATGATGATGATGACGACGACGACAACAACAACAACAAGCTTGTTTGCTCTTGCCTTGGTAACACACTTTATACTCAGGAGGGAGGGGAGATAAATTTATTTATTTACATATTTAGAATCCATACTTTTACAGAACTATTTCAAGGCCCAGTGCAACATTTATTGATGAAAATCAATAAATACTGATTAACAAAGAAAACTCATGTTACAAAAGCCTGTCTAAACGATGTCTGAATTAAGAGGTGGTTCCTAACGAACCTCTACTGGCAGGGAGTTCCACAGGGCGGGGCCTGCTCTCTAGTGACGGCCAGCCAAACCTCAGGGGCCATGTGGGGAGCCATCAAAAGTGTCCCATCAGAGGATCTCAGCGATCAAGGTGGAACGTAAGAAATCAGACAGTCCATAACATACTTCAGGCCCAACTTATTTAGGGCTTTGTGAATTAACACAAGTGCCTTGAACCTGGTCTAGTATCAAACCAGCAACCAGTGCTGCGCTTCCAGCAGCAGAGTAATGAGGCTGTTCCACAATCCCTTGGAAAAAGGCTCACATGGTGAAAAAGAGCAATGAGTGGGATTCCAGTGGTGTCCAAACTTTGTTCAAAGAGGGCCAGGCCGACCAAAGTTGTTGGCCTTCTTTTTAGGACTGAAGTTGTAGAGGCTTTTTTAGGGGTCGGATTAGGCTCCCAAAACAGACTCTGGACATGCCTGGATTATGCAGGGCTAATGGGTTATTGTTTTTGGTTTGATTTTATATGTGGTCTTGTTTGTGAACCACCCTGAGACTTCTGGGTATAGGGTGGTGTATAAATTGAAAAAATAATAATAAAATAATTCTCTAACAGATCCAGGAAATCCACCTATTGAACCTAAAGTATGACATGGAACATTTTCAGACCAAATGCAGGTTTTTAAAGGCAAGGAAGAGGTGCACTAGAGGAAATAAAGAAGTCAACTTCACCCTACACCATACTTTTAACTTAAACAGAAGAACACTACCAACCTCATTTCCTTTAGGCCTTCTGTTTCTATGACCTGCAAAATCTGTTTTGGGGTCATGGGTCCATCGGAGTAGTTTTCCAGCACCTGAAAAGATAAATAAATAGTTCAAGCTTAGCATGTAAACCCCAAGCCTAAGGCATTCAAACTGAAGATAAAGGGTTAGAGAATCTGGCCTAGCCTTTCTACAAAGCTATCGAACATGGATTTTTCAGGCCATAACAGTCCCAATGCAACCCCATGCTGACTCAAAATGAAATGAGTCGCTTGGCAAGATTTCATCCAGTGCCGAAGGGCCAAGCTCGATGAGACAGGATTGCATCTTCGGACCTATTTTAAAAGCAGTCACTGGTGTGTGGGTGTACCGTATTTTTCCATGTATAAGACGCCCCCTATTTTTTGGGACTACAAATTAAGAAAATGGGGGAAGGATTGCCCAGAGTTGTTGAGGTTTTTTTAAGAGGGATTGACGAAAATCCCCAAAAGACAAACACAGACAATATCACGCGTCGCCGAAGCCACCAATCATCTGCCCAGTCACCAACAGCACCCTCCCAATTGCCCGCCCAATTGCTGCAGTGGCAGCAAATCAACAACAGCCATTGCCGCGACCATCAGACACACACCCAAGCGCAGATGGCAATCTGCTGCTCATGGCAGCAACCAATCGCCCCCCACACTGCACTATCCGTATGTAAGACGACCCCCAATTTTTAACATAATTTTAAAATATAAATTCTTCATCTTGTACACAGAAAAATATGGTATTTATTTAAGCAACTTACAGACTGCTTAACTACAATAGTCTTTAAAGTACAAAAAATAGATTTTTTTTTAAATTATAAAACAAACTACAAAACAAAACATCAATTAAATGCCTGCCAGAATAAAAAAGTATTCAGTAGGCAGTGGAAGCTATTCTTATTTAAAAAAAATTATAATTCATTACCCAATGCTCACTTAAGGTCCCAGGGCAGGTTACAACATTACAACACATTATTAAAAACAACCCTGGCCCTAAAAACCATAGAGTTGCTAGTACACTGGATGAACAGGTGTATACCTCCCAGACTATGAAACTGTCAATGTCTCCTGGTGAAACAAGTGACTCCCCAACAGGCAACCTCCATGACCATGAAAGGTTGCACTTTTATTTCAGTGCCCTTTTTCAAAAAATGTATACAATGTAAAAAGGCATACCATAGCTACAAGATACTGTGAAGGCAAGATTTTCAAAAGTATGTGGGATAATATCCAAATCTTGACAGCAGCAATGATAAGAGGCCTCTAGCTCTGGCTTAAAAGATATAAGCTCTTCAGTTCAAGTTAGAAGTTGACTTCTAAAGCTTTTCTTGAGAGAGATTTGGCATTTCTCAGCATCTCCTTTCAAAGACACTGAAACAAACCTGTGCTGAGAAGGGGATCCCCTACTTTTGATCAAACACACTCTTCTTCCTGATAAAAGTATCATGTCAAATTATACAAACATGGTAATGGAAAAAGAGATGACCTCATGGATGTTCTGTAGGCTACTATGCATGTTATTGAAATAAATTCCATTGTGTAACCTAAAGCTCTTATTTCAGCCTATTGGTACTCTCAAAAATAGAGAGTGCTGAAATAAAGCGTTTGAGGCCCACAATTTTCACTTACAGTCTCACTAAAAGGACAAGTTGGAAACACTAATTGTTGTGTGCATGTGAGAACATAAAGAATGGAGTTCCTGCAAAGCTGTGCCAAGGGAGTAGCAGCTGCAGACCATTTGAAGAGGTGAAACAGCATCAATGGGGCATCTCTCTTGGAAAGGAATGCAGGTCACTAACCACCAGTGAATCTCCACCTCCACAAAGTGAAAGATCAACCTGAACCACACATCCTGCTGTCACGCAACCGAGAATCTGCCAACATGTCCGAGGAAAGTTAAAAGTAAATTATATCCATAGCCCTCAGCACTGCATTTCTCAGTATGTGATACTCCAAGAGCTGTGAATTATAAAGTTATTTGGCAGGAGACTAGGAACTGGAAACTGTGAAACACACACCTAAAGTTAATAGAAACTCCCAGGGAATCTAAACAAGTGATCTAAAAGAAGGTGCTAAGCCACAAGGCACTGAGGAAAGCCATTCTAATTCTGAACAAAGACAACTACTAACACAGACTTAAGTGATCCAGCCTCCTTAAAGGATAAAGAGTGACTCCAGGGCGCTTTTCAGAAAGAGGTAGCCTTCATCAGTGAAAAAAGGAAGTAAGATCTTGGTGGAAGGGTTAAGCTCTGACGTGGTAAGACACTTGGACACCTTTGACACAAATCACACATAGAACATTAACCCAGAAAGAAATGTAGCCTGCAGCTGCACATCAATGGATCACATGAACCCGTTCTCTAACAGTTACATGTGAGATTAAGTAGAACTTGAGAATTCAAATTAAATATAAAGCATGTCATGCTGCAGGGCAAAAACAAAGCATGAACAAAAACATCAAGCTATAGAAGGATGTTCCTAAGGGGCACAATTTCGCCAGAAATTGTAATGATTGCTAGCTACCTTCACCAGTATTACAAGTAGTTCACACAATACCTATGAGCATGTGAGTAAGTCTACTGGAGGTCATAAAAATCACAGGAAACCAGCCACAAATATCTTGTGGATGCCTCAATGAAAATGAATGCTCAGCAAAAGGGCTTGGTAGATTGATCTCTAAAGCTTACTATAGCACACATCACATCTGAAAGGGTAAAACACTACAAAGGAAGAAAGCAGTTGCTTAACAAATCACAAGTCTGAGATTTTCTATGAGATTTCTTCTCTTGATATCAGATTTTATTATTATTATTTATTGAATGTGTACACTGCCCTTTATCCAAAAATCACAGGGCAGTTCACAACATAAAAATACAAAATGAAAACACAAAATGCATAAAAACAAAACAAAACGCAAACCCCTTATCCCATAAACAAATGGCATATAAGTAAGAAACTAGCCCCCCTGTTGGCTTTTCAGACCATTCTTCACAAAGAACTTTCCAAAGCAGTTCTTTGATCACCGTGCAAGGGAAATGACTTAAAAACAGGGCAGAGCCGGAAGTACTGCCTGAAAATATTTTCAGTTTATGATGATCCAAACACCAGGGGATCCTGGGCTGCAGCTCCTCCAGATAGTTTGCTACCAAGATTAGCAGTTTGACTTTGGCATGTGTTGAGTATCATTCCAACTGTGTGTATTTAAAATACTTTTCTCAGAAGCTGCGTGCACAGAATGTATAAGGCGCCCAGGGGAAATGAAGAAGACGTTTCAAAAACTATGAGGAGGTATGTGCAAAAAACATAGGTCTTATACAAAGATCTGTTTTGAATGGGTTTGCAGTCGGCTTGAAAGCAACCCACAAACCAGGTGTGGGGCAGAAAGCCTTTAAGCAGATTATCTAACGTGAGGTTGAGCCAGCAACAAACCAGAAATAGAAAGGTAATGATGCTCCATACATATTAAGAAGACTCCAGACAAAAGGGGGCAAAAGCAATACTGGTCTGATAAGCAAGTTCACTCACAGAGCAAGGGAAAGCAAAGTCTTCTCACAAGAAGATTGCTGCTGTGACATTAAGAGGACTACAAGGCATGGGCAAGATGAGCAATGGGGCTGAGGTGCACATAGGGACTTATCATCCATTCAATCTCAGTATTTTCAAGGTCAAGGCAGGTGACTATATTCCCTGCAACCTTGCCCCTGTCCTCTTGGTGTCACCTGGTAGCTTTATTTGCATGCTGCTGGCATTAGACAGTGGTTAAGCAGCAACATATGCCAGGTGTCTAAGCAAAGTGTTTGACCCACAAAGATGAGAATCAGTGTATAAAATACAGATGGAAGCATCTAAGCAAAGAAGGCTGCCTTGATGCTCAGTATCACTCTGCACCTGAAGAGGAGGACAAACAGTAAGGAACTCTACCCGCTCAAACTCTAGAAGCCTGACAGAGATGCTGAATTTCCTAGTCATATCAGTAGCTCAGTCAAATACAACCATTAAGCAATTTTCATTTACTTCTAAGAATTTTTATGTATGGGGGGGGCATATACCACCACTTGGTAAGGTAAAGGTAAAGGTACCCCTGCCCGTACGGGCCAGTCTTGCCAGACTCTAGGGTTGTGCGCTCATCTCACTATAGGCCGGGAGCCAGCGCTGTCCGGAGACACTTCCAGGTCACGTGGCCAGCGTGACAAGCTGCACCTGGCGAGCCAGCGCAGCACACGGAAAGCCGTTTACCTTCCCGCTATAAAGCGGTCCCTATTTATCTACTTGGACCCGGGGGTGCTTTCGAACTGCTAGGTTGGCAGGCGCTGGGACCGAACGACGGGAGCGCACCCCGCCGCGGGGATTCGAACCGCCGACCATGCGATTGGCAAGTCCTAGGCGCTGAGGTTTTACCCACAGCACCACCCGCGTCCCCCACCACTTGGTAGCCAAGCCCAAAACCAAAAGTCTCTTTGGATTCATTTTGGCTTGCCTACTAGAACTTGCCTACTGCTGACAATCGCCATGAGGTATTTGATAATATCATCATTTATCAGTTTTAGACCCTTAAGTAGTAGCAGTTGGCAGGACACGCCTGCGTTCACCTCTGCGTAGTTCCTTCGTTATTTCAGCTAGCGTGATATAATTTTCAACTCTTTTTCTAACGATCCCTAGCACAGAATTTGCCCTTTCTGCAGTTACCACACACTAGGTTAACATCTTCATCAAGCTGAACAATTACCAGCCAATGCTGAGGATGCTAAACTATTTTAGCAAGTGAAGTACAGAACTATGAAACAGTAGCTGTTCTAGAATAAGAGTTAGGCGCCCAGTGGAAAGTTGAACCCAGGCCTCCCCAGTGCAAATTCTATGGACTCTCCACTATATCATGCACTATAAAAAGAAGTCACTGAAGATCTTCAGTGGCAGGCATATATATTCTTATAAGAAAAGTAGAAGTCTAAAAACGTTAGCAGAGTTTCAGAGCTGGGCAAAAATTTTGGTTGCCATCATCACTGTGTGTCTCCCCCCTCCCTCCAAGCACTCTGTTAGATGCAGCTCATTTGTCCAAAGCATCA